GCAAAAGTTGTTCAGTTTATTTTTCTGCATAACATTTTTTCTTTTCTGGATTTTTTAGATTTTTTTTTTCTTTTTTTTTTTGGCTGGGACCCTCCCTGGTCCTTGCACGGCCGGGCTGCACGGGAAAATAGGGTGACCCGGGCGGCCCGGCTGGTAGCCTAGGTGTACTGCAAGTGGAGCGTTTCCACGATTTTTGTACGCTCCCATAGCTGTCCCTGAACTGTCCGCAATTTTGTACAGTGGACAGTAGTGGAGACAAAAGGGCAAGCCTTTACCTTTTTTTTTTTTTTTTTTTTTTTTTTTTTTTTTTTTTTGGATAGGGCAGGCCCGGTGAGCAACAATTAGCCATAGTAGCTCCCTCCCTTTTTTTTTTTTGTGTGTGTGTGTGTGCGGGGGGGCCAATAGCCCTGTTTTCAGTGCTCTGCAAAACCGAGCCAACTTGGACACAGAAATCTGCCCCTTTTCCAAGCTGTAGGGAGCGCGCCCGGTTGAAGAAGAGAAATCTGGGCAATTCTGTGACTGAGCTCAATAGAGCTGTTCCATTTGTTTATGCAATTTGCCCGGGCGCTGTAAATGTCCCTGGAGATGGTGGGGACCACATCTGGCAACGGAAGGGCACTTACACTCAGTGGCCATGGGACTGCAAAGCCATCCTTTGTGGAGCCTGGCACCCTGACCCTCCTACCCCCTTTTTCACATCAATGGGGCGGACCGCGGTCTTATGCCCCATCTGGGCACACAGGTAAATGTTACCGGAAATGGAAGGGGCAAGGATGGAAGCGCCCTAATTTACACACACAACTTGTTAAACCACCAGTACCTTTCCCCGCTTGAAAAAGAAATACTGCTGCGGTTAACACGGAAATTCGTTACCCCCTCGACTTGGGTGGTGGGGCCGGCCGGCCGGCCGGCCGGCCAGATACGTCCGCGTCTTTTCAAATTTTCATGGCGGTCAGGGCGAAGTCGGCCGTCCCCGCCGTTGATGTATACTGGCGGTTGAAACCACCAGTACTTTACTCGGCCCAGCTATCATCGGCGGGGGAAAAAAAAGGTGTAGAACCGCTGTCTCGTCAGATGAGTATGGGCGCATGTTTCCTGAAATTGTGGATTGTTAATGCACACAACTTTAGGAAGTGCCGGTGGTTTTTAGCAACGGATCCAAACGGACGTAAGGGAAAGAAGGGAAGAGCTACCGAAAACAAGATTGCATCTTTGCACAACAAGCAAGCAGGAAATCAAAACCAAAATTAAACAGTCCTGAAGCAACTGGCTGGGGAGGTGGGGGGGGGGGG